TAGTTATTAACCGATACTGCATTATAACAGAATTAATAATATTCAAATAATGTTTTATTAATGTGTCATCCTTCCATTCTTGAAGTAGATTCAAGAGAAAAATTCACTTTTGGTCCCCTAACTATTATACATAAATCACATTGGTCATTGATTATTAAATATTTTTAAATTATATGCATGACTATGTAATTTGTAATACATTTGGCCATGACGTCTAATTTTTCGGCCAAATATTGCTGGAAGTGCTCCTTCTGGAAGAAGAAAATGCAGTGCTCCTTCCAATGACCAAATGTAATACAAATTACGTAGTCATGCACCTAATTAGAGAATTTTAATAATCAATAACAAAATGTGATTCATGTATAATAGTTAGGGGCCGAGATTAAAATTGAAATTTATTCTAGATTCAACCTTAAATCTTACCGCAATCAGATAAAAAGGAGGAATCATTGTCATCCTTCACAAACAAGCCTTTGAACATGTAGAATTTATGACTTGCTAGACCCTTGCAATTTTATGATATTTCATCATGTGAGTATTAAGTTGTGATATATCAACAGATTAATATATAGATAATTAATGAATATAAATACTTTTTTAACTTTCAAATTTTTAATAAATAACACCATGTAGATAAAATAAAACTTTAAAATAGCATTATTCGTGTGAAAATATGTGCTCAAAGGTCTTTAAAATACCAAATGTGATGGAATATAATGTTAACCTATCAACTTAATTGTTAATTTAGTCGAATAGTAATGGAAGTACGCAAAAAATTAAAATCCCCACACTATGAAAGGCCAAAAATAGCAGTTAATAATAAGTTGAATGCAGCCGCAAGTTCAAAATACATATTCACGCATGGCTTTGAGGCTTGGGACCACCCCAGCAACCGTGTGGACCCAACTATTGTTGTTGCCATTTGCCCTCTTTCAGCATGCAATATCGCCCGTGTACAATTATTTGAAGGTTAAATTTGACTTTTAGCTTCAATTATTGTAAAATTGTGACATTTATTAGAAATTTTAATTTATGAAAAAGTTTGTAACCGCTATTTAAATGCGTACTTTTTTTTTTTATTGTTATTGACTTTATTATAATGTAGAATCTATTCATATATACTTTTTCAACCTATGCGTACTGAAACCTTTCATTTGAGAGGTCACAGGTATACCGCTCGACCACAAAGTCTTTGACCTTCATATCTAAATATGTACTTCATATGAAAACATTAAGAAATTTCATATCATTATATCCTTGATTTAATCAAAATTGATTCAATCAAAATTTTAGATGAGCAGCCATTTACGTTTTGCTCCAAAACATGCTTTGAGCAACATTTCAACTTAGCATTTTGGAGAAAGATTTTTTTTTTTCAAAATGTCATATCTTAACAAAAAAAAAAAAAAAAAAAAAAAAAAAAAAAAAAAAACTGTATTAATTGAAGGAGCCTTATGGCCCGTTTTGGTTCACGGAATAAGCCTGGAATCGGATAGTTATGCTGTGGGCTCGTACCCAGCGTGCTTCATGCGCACGGATAACGGTGCCGTCAGGCACCGTTATCTTCCTTTTTTTTTTTTTTTTAAAATTTAATTTCAGACCGCTTCGTTATAGGAGCATATATTCACAGCTTTGTGTTCATAATTTCATAACTGTACATTCATAATTCCATAACTGTACATTCATAATTCTATAACTGTACATTCATAATTCCGTAACTGTACATTCATAATTCAATAACTGTAAATTCATAATTTTCGAAGCTCTATGTTCATAATTGTAAGTTCATAATGTCAGAGTTCTATGTTCATAATTTCATAACTGTACATTCATAATTCCATAACTGTACATTCATAATTCCATAACAGTACATTCATAATTTCATAACTGTACATTCATAATTCCATACTGTATATTCATAATTCCATACCGAACATTCATAATTTTCGAAGCTCTATGTTCATAATTGTAAGTTCATAATTCCATAACTATACATTCATAATTCTATAACTGTACATTCATAATGTCATAACTGTATATTCATAATTTCATAACGAATATGCCGTTAACGCCGTTAACGGCGTTTCGAACAATTTTTTTTTAATTAAAACAGCGTCGTTTTCACGGAAAACGACGCCGTTTTAGCGCCGTGCGCACCTTGCAAGGTGCGCACGTGCGCATAGCATAATTTGCCCCTGGAATGGCATAGCATTCCCAGTAATAAGCCTATTCCTTCGTTTGGTAACCATTTCTATTACGAGGAATAATATTCCTGGTAATAGCCTATTACCTCAAATAAGGTAATAGCTATTACTAGGGGCCCCCTGGTATTAGCCTATTACTGAACGCTCATGAATAGATTTTAGAATCTATTTTCTTTTTCACCCCTTTCTTTTTTAACCTAATTTTTTTATCTTATATATAAATTTATCCTATTTCACCACTGTCGTCGCCACCACCACCATCACCGCCGCCGCCGCCACCACCACTACCACCACCATCGCCACAACCGTCGCCGCCCCCACCACCACCGCCGCCCCCACCACTGCCACCGCCACCACCACCCCAGCACCACCACCGCCACCACCACCATCACCACCACCATCGTCGTCGTCGCCGCTACCACCACCACCAACGCCACCAGAACTACCACCCAGCAGCACCACCGCCACCACCACCACCACCACCGCCGCCACAACCGTCGCCGCCCCCACCACCACTGCCACAACCGTCACCGTCACCACCACCACCGTCGCCCCTACCACTGCCACCGCCACCACCACCACTACCACCCCAGCACCACCACCGCCACCACCACCATCGCCGCCGCCGCCGTCGCCACCACCACCACCACCGCCACCAGAACCACTAGAACCACCACCCAGCAGCACCACCGCCACCACCACCACCGCCGCCACAACCGTCGCCGCCCCCACCACCACTGCCACAACCGTCACCGTCACCACCCCCACCGTCGCCACCGCCACCACCACCACTACCACCCCAGCACCACCACCACCATTGCCACCATCACATATTTTTATAAGGGTATTTATGTCTTTTAAAACATATTTCATTTCTATTCCTTAAATCAACCAAACACTGTAATATAATTTCTAAAATCTATTCCTTCCGCGAACCAAACAATAGAATACAATTCCTATTCTATTCCTTGCATATTCCATTCCTTATTGAATAACATTCCTATTACCTCAAAATTCATTCCGTGAACCAAACGTGCTGTTAAGGAATTAGGATCCTTTTATAAAGGAACCCAAGGCTTCACTTTTGTTGCCCATATGATGTGGGAACATTAGATGGGCAACATTTGAAGAGGGACAATGTCCGTAATTTTTAAAATTTTTGATATGGGTCTTTGTTGTTGTTGTTATATTATTATTATTAATTTTTATTTTATTATTCAAATAAGATAAATGTAAATATTTTATGTACCAAACATATTTGTATAATTTGTTAATACTATAAGCTAATCAAATCAGTTAACCCAATTAACTATTAGCTAATAACTAATTGTAAACACCTCATTGTGTAATTTTATTAGTCAATTAAAAGAGTTTACAAGAGGTGAAGAAATTACATGTTGGGACAAGATGTTTAAATAATTCAATTACAAGTTAGTCATCTTTGTTAAAAGCGGAATGATATAATTTTAAATGGAGAACTAAAAGGCTGTTTGGTTGAGTGTAGTTTCCTTGTAATTGAAATGCAATTCGTTGAAGACTCAAATTACAGTGTTTGATTGGAAGGAATTGCAATTCCTCATTTTGTTGAATTACAATTCATACCCTCCCCCATATGAATTGCAATTCAATGGGGAAAGGAAAGGGAAAAATGAGGAAAATAGCTTGTTTACCCTTTATTATTATTAGCATTATTATTACATAAGGACATTTTAGTCTTTATACCACTTCTTCTCTTCTCATTCCCAATCATTCTATTCATCCCTACCAAACAATGTAATTTGAATTCCTACTTTATTCACACCTTATTCTTTTCCACAGAATTACAATTCCTTTCCCCCCTAATTCATTCATTCCAACCAAATGCCTTGCACCAAGCAAATAGAGTTGAAGATATAATGCGACAAAATTAAAAGAGTATGGCTAAATATAACAATATCATAATAATTGGTTATTAAAAGTGAAATTTGCTGTTTGTTAAAATTTTGTGTTCATATATGTTATGCAATTGTTTGGTATATTTTTCAATGAATCGTACTAGAGACCCTTACAATTATCGATTTCTATCAATCACTGATGATGTGTATTTTATTTTTTTTTAATTAAATATGTAGATTCTTTATTAACCGATGTTGTGGTAAGTCAGTTCACTAGTAATTGTAATCCAATAAAATAAATAATGTTTCTTTTTAAATTTGTGAGGAATAATTATAGGGGTGAGAAACATTTTCAAGTTCAATATATACTAAGTAATAATTTTGCTTTAAAAAAGAAATTATTGGAGAAGTCTAGCCAGGAGAGACTAGAGAGAGAGAGAGAGAGAGAGAAAAGCCACTCTCTCTGATCTCGCGTCTTCCAAAACCCTTTCGTCGTTTTCCTACTAATAATGTGTGCTAATCTCTTCGTTTGAGTGTTGTCTGTGTTTATCTCCTTCCTGATCTGCTGCTTCGAATTCGTTGGACTGAATTCCCGCCTTCTGCATTGTGATCAAACACTATCCTGTAAGTAAATCCGATCTAATTCTCTTCTTAATTCCTAGTTTTCACTTTGATTTTCTTCTCTTCTAGGAAAATAGGATTTGGATGTTTATTTGTTGTTAATCTTTAATGTGTGTTTGACGTATATGTTATACATTGTGTTGACTTTTTTCGGTTGATTTCAAATGACGGCTGACACAGAGGGTTCTGTGTTGTGTACCCGGGAGAAGAAATTTAACTTTGGACTGGATATGGATTCCTACCAGGATCTAACTAGTGTCGGTGCAGAAGGTGAGTAGTGACGAGGCTAATTGGGTGAAACTAACGCCAGTGACATGGATGATTCAGAAAATTCCTATATCTTTGTCAATGGGAGTGACAGTACGAGTGATGATCCTGGTGCTAATAAACTCGACACTGATGTGCCTGCTGCCTCGGTTGAAACCGAGGTTGTAGAGGATTCTACTGTAAGTGGGGATTTAAACAAGTCCATTGAAGAGGAGAGTCACAGTTCTCTTCAAGGGATTGGGGTCTTCCTCTCGACTAGTGAGGGTGAGGTTTTTGAGGATTGTTTGGCTGGGAAAGAAAACGTGGATGGAACGCAAGTTGCTTCTAATGATTCAGTAGAGAATCAAATCGAAGCTGTTGAGTCACAAAAATATGAGTGTATTGTTGAGTCCAAACCACAGACCTCTCAGGGTCAGATTGATTTGAGGTCCTCATCTGTGACCGACTCCAGAGATGCCAACCAAGTAACTAAGGAAATTATTCTAGATTCAGTTGTTGACCTAGTTAATTTAGATTCGGCCACTAAGCAAAATAATATAGATTTGACTGTAGATCAACATAATTCATATTCAGATTTGACCGTAGATCAACATAATTCAGATTCAGATTTGACCGTAGATCAACATAATTCAGATTCAACCGTCGGTGTAGAAAATGCAGATTCAGTCACTGAACAAAATAAATTAGGTTTGACAAACAATATAGATTTGACAATTATCACTGTGTAGGGCCATAACAATCAGCACGTGGTTGAGGATTCTGCAGAATGTGACCCTGATAAAACTGACAAAAAGAAAGGCAATTATGTAGACCAAACTTTACAGCCATATGATGCGTTAGAAGAGGGAGAGAAATGTACAATGGCTCCCATGAATGATTTTGAATGCAAATCCCAACATGCCAAGACAAAGGTTGGGGAGGTAAATGATCAGCAGCAATCTGAGGTAATGGCAACTGAAATAGTGGAGGATGGTGAATCATACACCCATGTTAATATTCCTGTGGAGTCAAATTCTTGTGAACTTGATCATGAAGGGGAGAACCTTGAGAAGGAATCAAGTAAATGTTTCAGTTCTGATTTAAATCCAGAACTTGAAAGGGTTAGAGTTGACCAGGGGCACAAGATGGAAAATGTAGTGAATGAGAAGCACACGTTCTTGGAAGCAGGAGGGGCCATTTCGCCTGTTTTATGTGATAAGCACGTTAGTCTACTTGTATCTCATGCTACAGACCATGTTTCCCAATAAGAAGAAGGTGGTGGAAAAATTGATGTTTCTGAAAGTTCCCATGAATTCAGATCTTCTGAGGAAGCCAAGATCATGGGTGCTCCTGCTGTTTGCATGATGACTGAAGATGACACCAGAGAAAAGCCAATTGATACTACATACCATGTTTCTCAATCAGAAGAAGGTAGTGGACAAATTGATGTGGGTGCTCCTGCTGCTTGCATGATGAGTGAAGGTGACACCAGAGAAAATCCAATTGATTCTATAGACCATGTTTCTTAATCAAACAATGGTAATGGACAAATTGATGTTGGTGAAAGTTGTGACACCCCGTTATTTTAAACCACTTTATTTAATAAAATATTCTCAAGGGTAAAATTTATTTTTTTTCAATCCTAAATATTTTAATCTGAATACTCTCAAAATAAGCTAATTTATAGTCCATGATTTTGTTATCCAAAATTTATCATGAGCCTGCTAAAATCATTTTATGTCTATTAAATTCTAAGCCCAAATGATTTACACTCCTAAGTCCAATTGTATTCTATGAGCCAATCGTTATACCCTGCACCACGGCACACAATACACTGTGCGCCCCGCGCCTCCCAAAACGACATCGTTTTGAGAGGTGCGGTAGGAAATTGATATGATTATGTATATTTTTTATTATGTACATTTTTTTATACAATTATGTACATTTTTTTATACAATTATGTATATCCGAATCGGGAAATTTTTGTGTATTATGTTAAGAGTTAATGTGTATTATGTTAAAAGTTTATGTTTATTATGTATTATGTTAGATTATGTGTATTATCTTTTAAAAAAGAGTATGTGTATTTTGTTATATAATTATGTACATTTATGTATACAATTATGTGTATTCTAGTATAACTTTATGTACATTTTTGAACATGAGATTTTTTTTAAAAGAAAAATTAACTGCCAAACACTTGGTAGTGAAATTTCAAACAAAAAAATAAAATTAAAATGACGGCGTTTTGCATCTGAGCGCACAATGCAAAGCGCGCCGTGGTGCAGAATATAAATTGCCTTCTATGAGCCTAGATAACTTGATTATTTTAAGTCCAACTCCCTAACACAATTGTGTTTATTTATACATTTAGCCCAAGACAAAGACAAAAATAAAACCCTAGCATTGTAGCACATCTCCAAAATATCACTTCTCTCCGCAAATTATGCTGTGCAACCGAATGCACCTTGCAAGGTGCATACGGTTGCAAAACGGCGCCGTTTTGGTTAAAAAAACGCGTGTCCCACTTAAAGAAAAAATCAGGTTCGATTCCCGGCAATAGCATTTTTATATATCCACAATTTCATAACTATATATCCATAATTTCATAACTATATATCCATAATTTCATAACTATATATCCACAGTGAATGAATGAAGTAAAAATCCACAATGAATGAATGAATGAAGTAAAAATCCACAATGAATGAATGAATGAAGTAAAAATCCACAATGAATGAACTAAATATCCACAATATATGATTGAACTAAATATCCACAATGAATGAACTAAATATCCATAAATTCATAACTATATAACCACAATTTCATAACTATATATCCAGAATTTCATAACTATATATCCACAATAATGCTATTGCTGAGAGTCGAACCTGATTTTTTTTTTTAAGTGGGACGCGCGTTTTTAATCAAAACGACATCATTTTGAACCGTATGCACCATGCGCATAATACATTCGGTTGCACAGCATAACTATTGACTTCTCTCCCTGTCGGTAATTCCCCTCTCCCTTACAGACAAACCCATTTCTTTCCTCCCCAAGACTCCAGCTTATTGCATCTTCTTCACTCATTTTATTCACCTCCTTCAACCCAAAATATAGAAGTCTCTCCTCTCCTTTCGTCTCTCTCGGCCGTCTCTCTTCCTCTCTCTGTGACGCCGGAACAAAGACAGATGACGGAGTGTAGTGGCGAAGCAGGTCCGACGAGAAGCAGCAGCTACCTTGCGTCTCTCTTCTATCTCTCGACTAGCAGATCGACAGCAACAGTAGGCGGTGGTGGTAGGTGACGGCGGTGACCCGACGCAGGTTGGGCGGAGCAGCAGCGAACAGGTGGCGTCCCCTGTTTCTTTTATCTTCCGGCGACGAGCAGATCTAGGTCTCCCCCGGCGAGCTCGGTCGACGAAAGGCGGATCTGGCGAGCTCCTCTCCGGCGAACTGTTGCGGCAGCCGGCAGCTTGACAGTGGTGGTGTGGCTGGTTCCGGCGGTGTTGGCAACGAGAGTTGGACGTCGGACGAAGGTGAGCCTCCACTGTTGTTGTTGAAGTTGTTTTGAATATGGATTATAAAGGCAATTAAACACTAATGACTTTGGTGAAGGTTTATTTACGATAATTAGGGCATCCCCAATAAGGAGATCTTCACCACATTTTAGAATAGTAAAATCCCCTTAAGATAGAATTTGACAAATGGAAAAGCAAAATCTTCACCACATTTTCCTCCTGCAATTCAAAGAAACATGTCAGAAAATTTAAAAAAAAAATAGGCGTTTCAGAGTGGCCGCCCAATGCTGTGCCGTTGCAATTGCAATGGCACAGCACACATTATTTTGTTTTTTAATTTTTCTTTTTGTTAATAATTGTTTTTTTTTTTTTTTTGTGTTTTTTAAGGAATTAATAATTGTTTTTTATTTTAATTATGAGTTTGGAAATAAAAGCTTGTAATTTTTACGTATGTTCATTTACGTATACAATCATTTATGTTTATTATAAAATTATAAAATTATAAATCAAATAAATAAAGAAATAATTAAAATATGTAGATAAAATGGTGGGTTCACAAAAAGTGGTGAAAAAACTTAAAACTAATGGGAAGAAGAGATTTTGTGATTGAGTGAGATAATGGATGATGAGGTGGATGTTGGGGCCACAAAAATCTGGGGTAAAATCCCCAACTGAGGATGCCCTTAGTGTTATTGATTGAGTTGTTTATTTAATTAGTTAATAATGAATGGATGGATTAATCTGAGTGAAGTAGACTTGAAGATTAATTTGGAAAATGTGATGATTAGCTTAATAATGGTGATTAAGTTTGATAATGATGGTTGGACTAATAAAGCATAACGATTGTGGTAATGATTGGATTATGTCTTAATAATGTTGAGCTAATAATAATTATTGGATGATGAAGGGCGAAGAAATGTTAATGATGAGCTGCTAATGATGATTATTAGGATTTTTAAGTTAATGGTGATTAATGGCTAATGATGGTTGGTTATTGTATGATGATGACATGATGATGCTATGAAATAATATGATGGTTTATGACGAGTATAATAATGATGATTATAGTATTAATAATGGGTGATTAGAGATGATTAGATAATGATTTAGAATGGTGATGATTATGGATTCTGTGTTGATTAGATGATGATGGACTACGTAGAATATTAATAGTAATTACGAACTATGATAATGAAGTGGATGGTGTGGTAATTTCAGTTGGGGACTATTAATGATTCTAGATTAATGATTAAATGAAGAATTGATTGATCCACAGGTTCCATGTAGAAGTGGTTAGTTTAAGAGTTGAGCCTAAGGTAGAGTATTTGGCTTTTGGAGCTTAGCTGTGAGGTAAGTTTCTATGTCAGTTTAAATTACTTTGCCCTACTAAATGTTCTACTTATATGATTTGTGTACTTAAATTATTTTGAGAATGTGTTCTAGTTTCAAAATGTGATAAATAGTAAAATATGGTTATTTTGGTGTTGACTTGTGATTTATATGGGTTGAAACTATATTTTTGAAAGGTGTATAATCTATGGTGTGCCTAAATGTTTTGTGTTGAAACCCCATTATAATTGGGATTGATTTGAGTATTGGAAAACTTATAATTTTGTGATATATGTTGAAAACTAAATAGATAGGTTTATCTATAGGGTTGTGTCTGTTTATGAATAGGTGTAAGTTATGGGTAGTTATTTACAGTTATGTCTTTGTGTATATATATGTACTTTGTTTCTCTATTAGAAACATAGAGAATACAATTATAATTTCAGTCTTATATTCATTTCCTAGTCTTGATTCTTCATATTGCTTCCGCCTAACTGGCGGGTGGTATTATTCTCCACCCGCCAGGCCATTCCATCTTCCAAATTCAACAATATATACATATATTTATATTGCTATAGAGTTCTATGAAACTCATACTTTGAGAAATATTGATTGAAAACCTAAGTATATTGAAATGAGTGAAACTATGTTTATATATTGGAGGATATGAAGTTATATTTATTCTTGAAGGACTATCTTTTTGGAGGAAATGTGTAAATTAGAAAAAATGTATTATTTTGCATACTATTATATTCTTTTTGGAGGATGAAAACTAATTTGGAAAGTATGGATATTGATGGGTTATATATACTCTATATTATTTGAAAACTATAATTTGGATAGCCTACGGGCAAATGAGAATACTTATGAAAACTTTTCTTGGAGAACTATTATTATAATTGGACTATTGGAGGATATTGTATTTATTTTTGGAGGATATGTGGATATGATG